TTCACTCAAAATTGAAAATTAATTAAAACTTACGAAATACATATCAATCGACTCAGTTTTTGATTCTGATTCCGAAAATGATATTTTTATTGCTCAAAAGTTGAGTTCTGATCGAGAAAATTGGGAATTACGGTCAGAAACTAGATAGGTTTTTGGCGGAGGAGTCTCATTTTTCAGGGTTTTCTATCGCGAGCAGCGCCAAAATTTCAAATTACGGTCTAAGAGTCTGAAACTAGTATGGATATATCCAGTTTTCGACGAGGAATCGAACAAAAAAAGAAAATATGTGTCTTTTATCGAAAAAAAAATTTTGCTAAAATTTTGCTTTGCGTGGACCTTACTTCTCTGTGAAATATAAAGAAAATTGAGTTTAGTAAAAACCGTCTTGAGTGAAATATAAACATTATAATATTACAGGCAGATATCTACGCTGCTTCCGAATATGTAGAGATTGTAGAGATAAAAGCGTTTCCAACAGGAGAAAAGTTAGCTTCTCCTCAGAAACGAAGGAATTTTGAAGAAGCAGTTTCTCAGTCAAGAAAAATTTCGTCACTATTGGCATGCAACATAGATGCAGAATATCGAAGGTAAATCTTTAACATACATTGAGCTCGAAAAATTCAGAAATGCTCTCTTACGCATTTTTTTTCACCAAGGGATCCTCTAGCAAGTAAAGTTTACTTTAGGAGAAAATAATCATGCGGCTCTGTATTTTGCTCTACGAGGAAAAAAATTTCACTGTCATATTGCCTGAGCTGTTCTGATTTAATTGTTCTTGAAAAAACTCAAAAGTGACTGCTAAATTTACCGTTTTTGTGAAAACGACGATATTCCGTCAACCTTCTTCCATCGAACTTTTCGCCATAAGAAAAACACATAACCAAAATTTTTTTCTTCGTTACATGGGTAATCATTTAAGCATAGAATGTTATTCAGAATCACAAAAAGACGAACTTTCGATTATTTGGCCAAAAGACGGCATGACGGTGGTATTTCTACTAAACGTGATTGTTTTTATTACTGTGGCCTATCTCTTCCAACTCACTAACTTTTAGTTAGTGAAGTTATTCTGCTTTTAGTTTTATATTAATTTCAAATATTTTTAAAATTTTTTAATAGTCTTACCGATCGTTTGGGAAGTTTTGTTACTCTTGCAGTTTGTATTCATGGTGCCGAAGATGAAGAAAGTTTTTCACCATTGATATTAAGATTGCTAGTAGAAGTTTTCGAAGACTCGTATCAGAAGAATCGTAAACAGATTCGTTTCAAAGAATCGAAAAGTAAACGTGTTTTGGGAACTAGAATCCTTAGGAAGGGAAATGGAAGCAGAACAAAAGAAGATATTCAGAAGAAGAATTCCTATTTCCGCATTCAGGAAACCGAGCTTGTTTATTAACAACTTTGTATCTGAAATTCAACGACGAAAACAGAGACTCGCTATTTTAGCCGGAAAGTTCATAAGTAAACCACTACAGCAACTGGCCAAGGTGTTTCCTCTGTTCCAGCTGGTGAGATTTATATTCCTGCCTATAGCACACTATTCATGGTAAAATGTAAAGAAGAGGTGCGAGCTAAAATGCTGATAGAGTCGAAGACATGTGATCTTGTCTTTCGAAAGAGTTAATCAGAAAACACAAATTCATCGAAAAAGCCAAGTCATCCGAAATCTTTCCAACATTTATTAGCGGACGAAAGTTGCAAATTTCCATTGCAAAAATCCATTTATTAACCTCTGGCATAAATGGCATAGCCATTTAGTACTCTTCAGCATAAACGGCTCTTTCTCTTCATAATTTGTCTATCCGGGAGGGTTCTCTAGCATAAATGGCATAGCCATTTAGTACTCTCCAGCATAAACGGTTCTTTCTCTTCATAATTTAACCACGATTGCACTATGTTATACTCGGACTTTTCTTCGAGAACATAGTGCAATCAAATTTTAATGCGGGCAGAGAATGCTTTGGTCTTGTTATAATCTTTATCTGAAAAGGAAAAATCGGTATAAATACAGAGTCAGGTAGTAAATTCAGAGGATGTCCACAGTGAATTCAGCTCTCTGTTCCCTTATCTAAATAGGTCTCATTTGCGCTAGTCACAATGCTACAGAATCGGATTTCTGGACAAGTTTTCTGGTGAGACACATCTCTTTCGCAGATTAACTCAGTGCGTGTGTGTCACAAAAAACAGTGTAAAACGGCAACTTTTGATATAAAAGAGTCACTTAAAAAGAAAGTGTGTCCTAAGGTAGCTGAACACTGATTTCACCGTGTTTTACCCGGTTTTCTCTTCGGGAACATAATGCAATCAGGGTCAATCATTCACCTCAGACTCACTTTGAAATTGAGATCAAACTTGTACACAGCAGTTTTATTAACACAGCCGCTCTTTGTCTAAATCCTTTCTAGTTGTCATACGAACCATATTAGTAGTTTTTTCTGATATATTTCTCAATTATGGTTTGCCATAAAAGTGGCATTTGATCTCGGAATTATAGTGAGAGTGGTTAAATGTTTTGTTGCTCGTCTGTGAGTTTTATCGTAAAGTAACGTTTGCCATATGTGAAGAAAACATTCACGCTTGGACTTTCGGAGAACGTATATCCGTAGATATTATCGCTAGGATCAGTTCGTTATTAGAGCCAATCTAATATTCTGCAAAATGAGGCGGAATGGCTGAGCCCCAATTCTTCGTGCGTCAAACAGAACTGATCATCGCTACATCCTGAGAGTCACTAATGGCAAAGCGATATTACACCGAGGATACTCACAATTGCTATAACATTAACCTTTCTTGCATTTCTCACTTCTGTGCAGTTCTATTTTGAGATCTTTATACAGCAAACATTAACTGAGTCTAAACACTGAGAAAGCCCCTGTATTTGGTGTATTTCATGATAAAGAAGAACTATTTTTGATACCCAAAATGAATGAAGAAAAATTGCAACTGTGGCAGCGACAGTAAATAGAAAGGATGTTAAATATCCCTATTCTCTCACTCACTGCAAGTGCTGTGTACTTACTCTGTAAATTGGTTATCCTACTGATTTAGTTTTACTGTAAAAAGGTTCAAAAAGTAGATACAAACTGCAAGAAGTTCGAGTATTTAGTCTACTTTAAGAAATAAAGTGCCTTATACATATACACTCTCACGACGTGTATGATTGACTATATCGGTGTTTTTTTCTCATTTTAAACGCGACGAAAAACAATGCCTGTTATATAATACATATATATATATACGTCTATAGCAGGCATGTTTCTTCAAAATGTTAGAAAAGGATAGATTGCTCCACGTGCTTATCCACGTGATATAAACGTACATATATTCTCGCTACGTGTATGATCAACGATACGAAAGTTTTCTTTTAACTTTAAACGAGACCTAAAACACTAACTGTTAAATGAAGCACTTTGTTTCTAAAAGCAGCTTAACTTTATACTCGAACTTTTTACAGTTTATAGCTGCTTTTTGAACCTTTTCAAAGTAGAACTAAATCACTAAGATAACCAATCTACGAGTTTGCAAGTGTACCAAGTGTACAAGTTACATCTCAATTTCAAAGTGAGCCTAAGCTGAACGACCGACCCTAATTGCATTAAGTTCACGAAGAGAAAACCGCGTAAAACCCGGTGAAATCAGTGTTTCAGCTACCGTCGGACTACCGTTTATGCTGGAGAGTAACAAATAACCATGCCATTTATGCTAGAGGCTAAAAAATGGGAGAGCCATTTATGCTAGGAAAAAAGCCATTTATAATAGAAACTAGCGAATTATGGTAGAGAACACTCCCGGATAGACAAATTTCCAAGAGAAAGGGCCGTTTATGTTGGAGAGTAATCAATGGCTATGCCATTTATGCCAGAGGTTAATAAATGGCAGAGCCATTTATCCTAGGGAAAAAGCCATTTATGATAGAAATTAGCCATTTATGATAGAGAACCCACCCGGATAGACAAATTACGAAGAGAAAGAGCCGTTTATGCTGGAGAGTAATAAGTGGCTATGCCATTTATGCTAGGAAAGAAGCCATTTCTCCCAGGGAAGCTTCCCCGACAGGCAACTGTATATAGCCATTTATTCTTAAAAAGATGTGGGTAAGCCGTTTATGCTAGAAACGGCGCAATTTATTATTGTCGTAATAAATTATAAGCCCTCGTGCCGCCTGAAAACTTTCCCACACTGCTACCATACGCTACGTAAACATTTGAGTAGGGATCGACAGCAACACCCCAAGCTTGGCTTAGATTTGATGCTATTATGGTAAATGGAATAGTAACATTAAGTTAACAGTAGCTAACTAGAGGATGTGCTAACTTAGTGTTAACTTAGTTGGTCGAGAGAAACTCATCGAGATGAGCCTCGACTACGCCAAAACGTGCCTTCACATTCGAGCGGCTTACACGGAAACATCGTCGCTCTATTCGAAGAAAGCTTTTCTCAAACAAAATTATGAAATTGTGAACGAACTATTGTACGAGCAATACGACAGACAGCGTCTGTCCGATATGGGCATTCACGATCGGTGCTCGCTCGTCGTCAAATGTTGGTGACGTAAATTCGAACTTGAGCTGTCAGTAACATTGCATAGACTGCTGTTTGTCGGACAAAACTAATTTTGTCCTGGATTCAGTATTTTGTTTTGTCTCGGCCGATGTTGAATTAGCATCTGTCAGAGTAGATGAACGTAGTGCACCGAGCAGCTCAATTTTCGATATTTTAAAATTTTCTGACTGATCTGTATTTTCAGATGATATAAAATTACTTTGGGGGACAGGTTTTCCTTCACACGTGGTTATCTTTTAGGGCAATAATGTACGTGCTAAACCTTTGAGCATTTCCGCTCTCACTTTACCGCTCTAACTGAAAAACAGAGTGAACGTCAACTATGGTCGATAACCGGCTCGCAGTAAGACCTTTCATAGGCCTGTGCCCATGAGAAAACAATCTCAGAAACTTGTGGAACGATTTTTGTGAATTCTGTGTTGTAAGAGCCCGCTGCGCGCACAGATAAAAGCTTTTTTCTTTTCCATCCGATTTTGAAGAAATTTCCAGCAAATGTGTATGCTACAAAGTTAACGCTGAAAACAAATTCCAGCGCTCCACCCTCTGGTTTTCCAAAAATGTTGGTAGAACATGGACGAAAATGGAACTGTTCACTATGCACAAGAATTGTTTTTCAATTTAAGCTGTTGAGATCTAACTTTGCTGTTGTTTAAAGAGCATAAAAAACAACTTAGTCAGAAAAAATTATTGTTTTTAAAATCAAGAAACTAGTGAAGAAATGACAAGCAGAATTAATTCGTCCCGAAAAGAAGCAAGAAATATCCATACACGAACAAAGAAATTAATTCAAGAGTTATTTAACGGCTTGGAATTGAATTTGAAAAATTTCCAGGATCACTAATTCTTTGCACAGTTCGTCTTCCTTTTTAAATAGTGTTTCAGGGTAGATAAGATGGTGATAAATCAGAAAAGACGTTTTTTGGCCACTATCGCCCTCATGAGCTTTAACTTCACGCATTGAATTTGTTTGACAAATACTGGAGACCCCGTTTGCGAATTGAATATGCATAAACTGTGATACTTGAAATGCTTTTTGTCGACAAGCCAAACTACAATAAAATTATGGATTAACGGAAAACGCGAAAATTGTCGGTCAAGTCAAAGTGCCTATCGTCGATGCGAACTTGCCCATCGAATGATAGAGATTCGATAGTGTAAATGAAACGTTGAGTCCAACTGGGGACGTAGGCAATGAGAGAGGACCGGTCCATTATCCATAACCGATATCGATGCCAGATCGAATTGTGTATCCTTATCAGAGGTTATCAGACATTTGCTAAATAACTCTGCCAGTAGCGGGTCTCTCTATTATCTTTGCCATTTTAAAAAGTCTCATTCAGCTATTAAATCAGGAGTTTTCAGCCCTTACTAGGATTTACTGTTACAAACAGCTCTTGTTTTAGGATTCTTTAGATTTCTGCGACGCGGAGAATTTTGCATTTTCAACAATAACTTCGATCCTAATCCTAATTTTTCGATGGGAGATATTATTTTTTCTGAAAACACGCTGGCATTTCTACGCTTAAAAGCTTCCAAAACGGACCCTTATCGCTATTTTCAAGACAAAACATAGAGTTTGTCCAATTGCTTTTCTGAAACGCTGTATTTCAGTCCAAAAAACTAGATATCTTAGTCAATACGGATGATCCTTTTTTCCTAACTCCAATGGGTCTGCCATTATCTCGATCAGTTTTTATTGAAAAAGTGCGTCAGCTTCTAACGTGTTTGAAATTTTCAGCTAATTTGTACTCTGGTCATTCTCTAAGACGTAGTGGTGCTGCTACTGCGGCTTCCGTCAGTATACCACAACACATTATTCAAGCATCAAGTAGATGGGCAACGGCATCGTCTTGTAGGTTATACATTAATTTATCACCAATAATCAGGGGTGTTGCTTTACTTTTATTGTTCCTTTATAATAAAGGATAATATAAATGAATCCATTTATATTTAAAAGATAAAGATAAACGATTCATTTAACTTTATTCCTTTATTTTTACCTTTATTTTTAAAAATAAATGTATCATTTATCTTAAAGATCTTATCTTTATTTTCTAATTTAGAAAATAAAGATAACATCTTTCAGATAAATGATTCATTTACCTTTACTTTTTTAAAATAAAGGATTCATTTATCTGTATTTTCCAAAGTAACACTAAATTAACACCCCTATCAATAACATTTTGGGGGGCGCAGATATAGCTCTCACTAAATGAACTTGAAACTTCTTATTAGGGTATGACGCTTCGCATCATCTTGGGATTCGCCCAATAAGAACTATTTGTTTATGAACTGTGGATTGATTGTAATTTGTGTGAGCTTCTTGTAAAGCTGACTGCCCAAATAAATTAAGTAAAGTAAATCTTATCGACTTGCAGTTTCTTAAGGGCCCCCCTCAGAAAAAAACTTGTGTGGTTATGAAATATTTTTAATCTCGGACATGTAGGAAAATGCTTGTAATTTTTGAACGCAAGATCACTCAGAGTTGTGCAACGTCTTATTTTGATCAGAAAAGTCTGCTCTACAATTCTACGTGTTCAGAAAAAATTTACTTGCGTAATTGTCCAGAAAAAAAATTATTATTTGAAGACCCTGGTTTTCAAGGCTTCTAAAACTTGCTCGAAAACCAGGAAAAGCCAGCTCTAGGCTCGAAAGCGATGCAGATTCTGAAAATAGGCACTCCAGGCTATCTTTCCATATGCTTGTCTCCAAATTGATTTTTTGATACAGAAACATTTCATTCTGAGGGTATCTGAGTGGCAACGTTTTACACTTCACTCATCACAGTTTCTCCGTATCGCGAAAGACACACGAGATTCTTTGTTTTTGTGTTCAAGTGATAGCGTCATTCTGACTATCCTAGGAAGTTATCTCAATGAAAAGAAATTTAAATCCATGTGACGGGGAGCATCTGTAGAGCAAATGAAGTGAAATCTGAATTGACGATTCAAAGTGACCCATTGAGATGGTGAAATCGAACAATTGTTAAACCATCAGAGAGTTCCTCCGATGTACATATATAAATGATACGAGAAATTGAATAAGTAGAAAAAAGCGAGATTTTTAAAGAGATGAGGGTAAGATTGCTGCGTACGTAGCCTGCAGTACATTGCATCATGTTCCCGGAGATGAAACCGGGTAAAACATGGCAAAACTTGCGTCCGAGCTGTCTCGAAAAACGCTCTTTAGAGGCGTTTTCTTATCCCTAACATTGGTTCTCTTTGGTGTTCTAAACGACATATTTTGCGCTGAAAACGACAAGGTTTCAAGTGGATTTCTAGGAGACCCTCTATGAAAATTTCACTTTAAATTTCAGTTTTTTGCTAGATTTAAGCCATAAACATAAATTTTGAACTAACCCGTTCGATAGAGCTCAAAAAACTGAACAAGACTGTTATTGTCTTAACAGCAGCTAGTAATTTCATCGTAAATGGAAATAAATTTATGACGAAATTACCAGCTGCTGTTAATACAATAATATTCTTATTCAAATGGTTGCCCATAAAAAAGTCAAATTATGAACAAGGCTGGCTAGTCGGCGAAGTTTGAAAAATATTTGCAGGGAATCTCTAGTACGCTTTTCGAAATGAACTTAACAATGAAAACGTTTGCAAACAACGAAGATCCAACATAATAAATTTTAGTATGAACGGTCACTTCTTAGAAGCCATTTTCTTTTCCAAAATGTGGTTCATACAATTCTGCATCGAATAGTGTATTTGAAATTTATTTAAGAGAACGGATTTCTTGAGAAAAATTATTTGATCGAACACCCTATGTAAAGAACCACTGTTTTCTGGAAACCCGTCTTTGAATTTTTTTCAAAAAATCATTTTTCCTTGTAGAAAGGTGCGTACAGGTCTTGACTATCGAATACTGAAAATCGCAGGTCTCTGTCTCATTCCTGTCAAAAGTTCTTCAAAACGTAACCGACTGCCTTGTATTTTGGCGCCGATAGTAGTGAAGACTGTCTACGATGATATAGAGAGACAGACGGATGTGTTCTCTCTCTTTTTTTGTCTGTCACAGCACATGTCTGCATCACAAGCCAAAATTGCACACTGTGTCGGTGTGCTAGGTCAGCTTATGTTCCAGTCGTCCTTGAGTTCCATAAACGTCAGTAGATGGTACCAGGTCTAGGACTCGGAGCAGATGTGACATCACACGTAAATAGTAGAGACAGTCGCTATTTTAAAGGAAATAGATACCATGTGATGCTCGCCAAATGTATCCAGTTTATACCGTTCCATAGCAGTATCAGTTCAACTCAGTTGTTCAGGAATAAAGAAATGTTTTTCAGTAACATGATGGTTACACAAATTTTCGAATGTCACAAACATTTTATACGATAGTTGTGATTACAATCAAAAAGAGAAGCCAAAAATATTTTCACCCCCATATTGCAAAAAAAAGCGCTCAGTACATTTTTGGTAGAGGATTTTATGACGGTTCTATGACAAAAGAATCAAGTTTGTAGTCTACATCACGTCTTTAAGCGGTTAGTATATCGCAGTACATCAATCACGGTTACAAACGATCGAAGGTTGCAGTCTGTATTGATTCATGTGAATAGTCATCTGGAGTTACGTTTATGCTAAATGAGATATAAAAGTACAAGTAAAACGAATAGAAAAAGGAAAGAAATGACCGACCACACGAGTAGACAACTTCATTATTTTATTTTTGATTTTGGTGATAAAATGCCATCTTACCTTCTCGGCAATAACACCTAAGGTGATAAATAAATTTGAAGTACAACATCCAGGATTTACCTCACACCTTCCTGCGTGAAACCTAAATTCGACTAGTTGGAACATTTACATATCCTCGTTCAATGCAATACCATTCACAACTGATACTGTTTACTACGTTCCTAATATTCAATATAGCCTGACAACGTCCATAGTACCTACAGTCATCGTGGACAATATCGTATGGCCCAATGGAATCATTTCAGCAGATGAAAGGATTTTCGGGTTTCCATATTCAATCATCGTACCCGATAAATTTCTTGTGTCGAGTAAAACAAAAGGAAATTTATATCTCATCCCTCCACCATTCACAGGTCAACAGCCAATTCCACTTGTACCCAGTGAACAGAAATTGTGGTTTTATCATGATGCCGTCTTCAACGACATGGATTTGGATGGTTATGTTGATATTGTTACTGCTCGTGCTAATGTTCCGCTTGTTAGTCAACCTGTTGGAGAACTCATTTGGTTGACAAATCCTGGAAATTCTAGTAAGGAAATTTGGATCATAAATCATATAGCTGATGGTCCCGACACGCATGTTGCGTTTACGAGATTAACTGTGGAATCAAGATCATACAACGTTTTATTCACACATAGTTATTTTAATCGTAAATTACAGATATACTGGAGTGAGGACGAAAAGGTAGTTGGAATGACACGATAAAGATCTCTAAACGTGATATTGACACAGACGAAGGATTTGGCTTAAACTTTTTATTATGATAAAAAAAAAAAAAGTAAGAAAAGGCATATCAGGGTATCAGAAAACAATCAGACAATCAGTATCAGACGAAGGATTTTTCGACATAACACTAGCGGATTTAAATGGAGACTCACGAGTAGAGTTGCTGGTACCTTGTAACGATGTCAAGAATGGTTCATTTGTTGTGTATGAATTACCTATCGATGATTTTCGCTCAGGTGAAATTGTGAAACATTCCTTAGCAACTAATTTTAAACCATTAAGTGAATCAAAAGGACGTGGTGCTTCCGGTAGTGCACTCGTCGTAGACATATATGATCAACGTAAACCCGTTATTACATTATCTGGAGATGATGATGGCTGTGCATATCTCTTAGTAGCTCAAAGTGAAGATGTAGCAGATTGGAATTATACGTTGACGAAATTTCATCAGGTAGAATCTACTGTAGGTCAATTAAGTGGGAATGATATTGACAATGATGGCAACCTAAAAATATTTGTACCATCATACGGACAGAATCAAATAACAATTTACAGATTATTACACAACTAAATAACTTGTATAACTTTTAGGTAACGCTCCAATTTTACACTATTCTAGTTAGGAAAAGGCAAGAATAAATTGAAATTTTTTGTTGCTTCAAATGTCTATAAAAGAAGCGCACACTTTTAGCGATGTTAACTTTCAAAGAAATACGGCATGTTTTTAGTTTCTAATAAAATTGAATTCACGACGTTCTAAAGACCGATACATATGACCGCTATCGGAAACCAGACACATTTTTTGAAATTCCCAAAAACTATGTTGTGTCAGAATTGAACAAACAATGCGGTTAGAGTTCATCTGCTTCAAGATGCATCTACTCTTCTACTTAGAGGGGAGAAAATAATTTAGATCCTTGAAAACATCCTGTGTGACAGATTCGAAACAAAATTTAATTAGTATCCTGGCTTCGTAATCGTCCTATATTTCCTATATTTCCTATATTTATGAAAGTGGTCCTATATTGTCCTATATTTCAGGCTTTTGTCTTATATTTCCTATATTTGTGGGCAAAGTGGGGTTACGCTGCTACTATTCCTTCATTATCTGCTTTATCCAACCAAGCTTTGTTGAAGACTGTGATTTTTGGCATGTGTGACTGAACAAATACTTATCTAAAATGGATTCAGATCGAATCACAAAAAAATAACAATTTGGGCGAAGAAAGCATTAGGTCTAGGAGTGACTCAAACTGTCTGAGTCGTCGAAAAACAAAAAAGAACCCAAAAAACCAGAAGGTAGAGCACTAGGAAATATTAAAGAGAAAAATGGGTATAAAACTGCTACAAAGTACATGATAATATTTTAACTAAATGCTTTAACTTTATTTTATTTTTGAGTTTTCGATGTGTTTCACACTTCATCATCAGAAAAATGAACATAGGAAGAAAAGATAACT